ATTTTTAATTTTAAATTGGCCTATGTTCCTATTTTATATATTTTACTATATATTCTAAACCTTTCTAGATCACTATCTGTAAATATTCGCTCTTGTGCAATAATTACCCTGGCTTCTGGACCCCATTGGAAATAAGTCTGGTGTACAATCACTAGACTTAATGGGTTATCCAGGCATTCAATTTTTATTTCATCTGCTTTTTTATGTTCGTTCTCAAAATGTTATTGTTATGTGTGTGATATTGAATGCAAAATAAATCAAATCAAATCAAAAGTATTGTTTTATTATGTATTTCTCTAAACACCTTGTTAAACACAAAATATTACACAAGCATTGCAACACAAGCACATGAATACAAATGCACCGCTACACACGCACTTCTACACATGCAATGATACAGTACATATGCACTGCTACACATGCACAGCTACACTTGCATGGCAGCACATGCACTGCTGCTCAAGTACTGCTACACATGAACTGCACATGTACTGCTACACACGCACTGCTACTCATACACTGCTTAATATTAACCTTACCACATTCACTTGCAGAGCCCCCAACTAGTTGAAAGTATTGCTGAGCAATTTTCAAATGTTCTCTCTAAAATGTAAACATAACAATGTATCCTGATTTATCGTCACTTTTTAAATGTTATATTGATCATTTTACATACTTATAAGACATCAATTTTATTTTCCAGATTATTTAAGGGGTGTACCATGCACCATACTTCACTACTTGTACTTTTAATTTGTTTATTCTGACAGCACCTATGTTGGAACCTAGAAGCCTAAATATCCAATATTTTAAAAGTAATAATTTTTTATTTATACCAAATCAATCTTTATTGTCCAAATATAACATTAATGTACATGGAAATTTGTCTTTAAATGCAAATGAAAGCCTACAAATTGCACATCCAACCCTAAATTACACAATTGAAATTTCAGAAAAAAAAAAAAAGAAACAAAGCTTCGAAAAGCCTATATACGATTGATTAAAGATTATAAAAATACAATTTCAATTAAAAAAAGTTATAACACAATTCAATAATTAGATTTACAAATTCAATAAGAAATATAATATATATTCTTGTTTATTGTTAAGAAAAAAGCAAACAGATGAAGAAATCAAATCAATGGCAGAGTGTAGCACTCACAGATTGCGTGTCCTGACCCAGAGTGGCGTTGACAACACCTTTCAAGATGTACTCCTGCGGTGTCGTTGGCTCAACGTCCTTTATCAGTGCATAAGCCTCATTCACATCGTCTGTCATTGAAAACCATCTTACAGTAAACATTTTTTTAATATGTAAAATATAATTATTGGGTTTCTTTTGCCATTATAGTTTTATTGTTCTTTTTTTTGCCATTATAGTTTTCATTGTCATCGTGACTGTTATTACATTATCACTATTTTTATCATCAGCAAATCATATAGTAACTTTGGTATGGAGATACATCTCTCCTGGTGATAATTAAGGGTGATAATCAACATTTGAGAAAAATGTATGTACCCATTGGGATTTGAACCCAAGACCTTCTGATTACCGTTTGGGTACTCTACTACCAACTGAGCTATTACGACGAGTGATGTACTGTGCGAGCTAGTCCACACCTCAAGCGCTTTGGGACTTTGGTATAAAGTGCTATATAAATTACATTACATTACATACAGCCTTGCTGTATATAATAATAATTATCAATATCACAGTGTAACACCTTACCTCATCAATTTAGCAGGGGTCCCAAGTTAGAAGTCCCTCCCAGGAGACCCTGTTAAATGAACTTTCTTTAACACATCCATTTTTTTAGCTGTGTTTCAGGAGACAATTGATAATAAAGTAGTAAAAGCAAGCAAATATTGTGATTTTTCTGGAGATTTGTACTTTTGTAGTGATTTTGTACTGATATTGTACTTTGTTTTACGTTGAGAATTTTGAAATAAATCCAATCCAGATGGATTATGTTCCGGGAGATTCACGCTTGCTCACTGAATTTTGAAATGCTGTCCCGACTTGCAAGAGACCCCGCTACTTGCTTGAGACTTGGGACCCCGGTCTGGTATTCAAACTGTTTGTTAAGTGAAGTAACTATACAAAGCCATTTACCTTGTCGTAGATGATAGATTACGAGATTTAATCTTGCTTCCGGAATCACATCAATCAGTGGTGGTAAAATCTGAAGTGCACCCTCTCCTCCACGAAAAACCACCTTGTGCAATAAAATAATATCAATTTGAAGTAAAGAAAAGTTGTTTGTCAGCAACAATATAATGGAGTGGCTCTATAATCAACTGGTGACATCATGATGAGAATATATACTACTAATAAACCATTGGTAACAGTTAGCTTCCTTAAAGGCCATCTCAATTGT